ATAACCAAGTGATTCTGAAAATCCATCTTTATGGAGTTTCTTCATGCGCTTTACACCGATATGACCCAAACGGCAGTGCCACAAATAAGTTGCACTATCATTATTAACTTTGCATCTTTTGGCATCAATATTATGAATATGTGTATCACTACGATCGAGATCCAACAAACTATTTTCATTGGGTGTATGACCATTTGAAGGTTTTATTCATGTAAACAGAACAACAATTATTCTCTTACTTTAAATGAATAACCGTATTGCAATAAACATGATCAAATCATATTCATGCTCAACGCAAATGCCAAATAATATTTATTTAGGTTTAACACTAATCCCGAAAGTATAGGGAGTGTGCGATTATGATCATATCAATCTTGGAACTACTTCCAACACTCATCGTCACTTCCCCTTCAACTAGTCTCTGTTTATTCTGTAACTCCTGTTTCGAGTTACTAATCTTAGCAACCGAACAAGTATCAAATACTCAGGGGCTACTATAAACACTAGTACGGCATACATCAATAACCTGTATATCAAATATACCCTTGTTCACTTTGCCATCCTTCTTATCCACCAAATATTCAAGGCATTTCCGCTTTCAGTGACCATTTCTTTTGCAGTGTAAGCACTCAGTTTCAGGATTTGGTCCAGCTTTGGGCTTCTTCACGGGAGTGACAACTTGTTTGCCATTCTACTTGAAGCTTCCCTTTCTTTCCCTTTGCCCTTTTTCTTGAAACTAGTGGTCTTGTCAATCATCAACACTTGATGCTCTTTCTTGATTTCTACCTTCGTCGATTTCAACATCACGAAGAGCTTGGGAATCACTTTCGTCATCCCTTGCATATTATAGTTCATCACGAAGTTCTACTAACTTGGTGATGGTGACTAGAGAATTCTGTCAATCACTATTTTATCTTGGAAGATTAACTCCCACTTGATTCAAGCGATTGTAGTACCCAGACAATCTGAGCACATGCTCACTAGTTGAGCGATTCTCCTCCATTATTTAGCTATAGAACTTGTTGGAGACTTCATATCTCTTAACTCGGGTATTTGCTTGAAATATTAACTTCAATTCCTGGATCATCTCATATGGTCCATGACGTTCAAAACGTCTTTGAAGTCCCGATTCTAAGCCGTTAAGCATGGTGCACTAAACTATCAAGTAGTCATCATATTGAGCTAGCCAAATGTTCATAACGTCTGCATCTGCTCCTGCAATAGGTCTGTCACCTAGCGGTGCATTAAGGACATAATTCTTCTGTGCAGCAATGAGGATAAACCTCAGATCACGGATCCAATCCGCATTATTGCTACTAACATCTTTCAACACAGTTTTCTCTAGGAACATATCAAAATAAACATATGAAAGCAACAACGCGAGCTATTGATCTACAACATAATTTGCAAAATACTACCAGGACTAAGTTCATGATAAATTTAAGTTCAATTAATCATATTACTTAGGAACTCCCACTTAGATAGACATCCCTCTAATCCTCTAAGTGATTACGTGATCCATATCAACTACACCATGTCCGATCATCACGTGAGATGGAGTAGTTTCAACGGTGAACATCAATATGTTGATCATATCTACTATATGATTCACGCTCTACCTTTCGGTCTCCGTGTTCCGAGGCCATATCTGTTATATGCTAGGCTCGTCAAGTTTAACCTGAGTATTCCGCGTGTGCAACTGTTTTGCACCCGTTGTATTTGAACGTAGAGCCTATCACACCCGATCATCACGTGGTGTCTCAGCACGAAGAACTTTCGCAACGGTGCATACTTAGGGAGAACACTTCTTGATAATTAGTGAGAGATCATCTTAAAATGCTACCGTCAAACTAAGCAAAATAAGATGTATAAAAGATAAACATCATATGCAATCAAAATATGTGACATGATATGGCCATGATCATCTTGCGCCTTTGATCTCCGTCTCCAAAGTATTGTCATGATCTCTATCGTCATCGGCACGACACCATGATCTTCATCATCTTGATCTATATCAATGTGTCGTCACATGGTTGTCTCGCCAACTATTGCTCTTGCAACTATTGCTATCGTATAGCGATAAAGTAAAGCAATTATTTGGCACTTGCATCTTATGCAACAAAGAGACAACCATAGAGCTTCTGCCAGTTGCCGATAACTTCAACAAAACATGATCATCTCATACAACAACTTATATCTCATCACGTCTTGACCATATCACATCACAACATGCCCTGCAAAAACAAGTTAGACGTCCTCTACTTTGTTGTTGCAAGTTTTACGTGGCTGCTACGGGCTGAACAAGAACCGTTCTTACCTACACATCAAAACCACAACGATAGTTCGTCAAGTTAGTGCTGTTTTAACCTTCGCAAGGACCGGGCGTAGCCACACTCAGTTCAACTAAAGTTGGAGAAACTGACACCCGCCAGCCACCTGTGTGCAAAGCACGTCGGTAGAACCAGTCTCGCGTAAGCGTACGCGTAATGTCGGTCCGGGCCGCTTCATCCAACAATACTGCCGAACCAAAGTATGACATGCTGGTAAGCAGTCTGACTTGTATCGCCCACAACTCACTTGTGTTCTACTCGTGCATATAACATCAAGGCATAAAACCTAGGCTCGGATGCCACTGTTGGGGAACGTAGTAATTTCAAAAAATTTCCTACGCACACGCAAGATCATGGTGATGCATAGCAACAAGAGGGGAGAGCGTTGTCCACGTACCCTCGTAGACCGAAAGCGGAAGCGTTATGACAACGCGGTTGATGTAGTCGTATGTCTTCACGGCCCGACCGATCAAGCACCGAAACTACGACACCTCCGAGTTCTAGCACACGTGCAGCTCGATGACGTCCCTCGAACTCCAATCCAGCTGAGTGTCGAGGGAGAGTTCCGTCAACACGACGGCGTGGTGACGATCTTGATGTACTACCGACGCAGGGCTTCGCCTAAGCACCGCTACGATATTATCAAGGTGGATTATGGTGGAGGGGGGCACCGCACACGGCTAAGAGATCCAAGGGATCAATTGTTGTTGTGCCTAGAGGTGCCCCCTGCCCCCGTATATAAAGGAGCAAGGGGGAGGGGGTGGCCGTCGTAGGAGGGGCGCGCCAAGGGGAGTCCTACTCCCACCGGGAGTAGGACTCCCTCCTTCCTTGTTGGAGTAGGAGAAGGGGGAAAGAGGGGGAGAGGAGGAAGGAAAAGGGGGCCACACCCCTTGTCCAATTAGGACCAGAGGGGGGCTGCGCGCCTCCTTCTTTTTGGCCTCTCTCCTCTATTCCTGTATGGCCCAATAAGGCCCATATACTCCCCGGCGAATTCCCGTAACTCTCTGGTACTCCGAAAAATACCCGAATCACTCGGAACCTTTCCGAACTCCGAATATAGTTGTCCAATATATCGATCTTTACGTCTCGACCATTTCGAGACTCCTCATCATGTCCCTGATCTCATCCGGGACTCCGAACTCCTTCGGTACATCAAAACTCATAAACTCATAATATAACTGTCATCGAAACCTTAAGCGTGCGGACCCTACGGGTTCGAGAACAATGTAGACATGACCTAGAACTATTCTCGGTCAATAACCAATAGCGGAACCTGGATGCTCATATTGGCTCCCACATATTCTACGAAGATCTTTATCGGTCAAACCGCATAACAACATACGTTGTTCCCTTTGTCATCGGTATGTTACTTGCCCGAGATTCGATCGTCGGTATCCAATACCTAGTTCAATCTCGTTACCGGCAAGTCTCTTTACTCATTACGTAATGCATCATTCTGTAACTAACTCATTAGCTACATTGCTTGCAAGGCTTATAGTGATGTGCATTACCGAGAGGGCCCAGAGATACCTCTCCGACAATCGGAGTGACAAAACCTAATCTCGAAATACGCCAACCCAACATGTACCTTTGGAGACACCTGTAGTACTCCTTTATAATCACCCAGTTACGTTGTGACGTTTGGTAGCACCCAAAGTGTTCCTCCGGTAAACGGGAGTTGCATAATCTCATAGTTACAGGAACATGTATAAGTCATGAAGAAAGCAATAGCAACATACTAAACGATCAAATGCTAAGCTAACGGAATGGGTCAAGTCAATCACATCATTCTCCTAATGATGTGATCCCGTTAATCAAATGACAACTCATGTCTATGGCTAGGAAACTTAACCATCTTTGATTCAACGAGCTAGTCAAGTAGAGGCATACTAGTGACACTATATTTGTCTATGTATTCACACATGTATTATGTTTCCGGTTAATACAATTCTAGCATGAATAATAAACATTTATCATGAAATAAGGAAATAAATAATAACTTTATTATTGCCTCTAGGGCATATTTCCTTCAGTGGGCGATTTGGTGGGCTCGGAGGAAAGCTATTCACGACAATGAATTTCAGAGTCCGCTGTCAATGATGTGCTTCATCAAGAGATTTTTAGATGACCTTGAGTTAGCAGATTCTAGAACAGCAAGACCGGCTTTGGGGCGAGCGGTACGGCCCCGCGCCAAAGCTTGGCTACCACCGACGGGGAATGCGGCAAAGCTAAACTGTGATGGGGCTCTTTCCACCTTGGGAGAAAGGGGAGTTGCGGCTGTGATATGTAGGGATAAAGATGGATGTTATCTGGGAGCATCGGCAGTGGTGATTGATGGCATGATTGATCCAGCAAGCTTGGAAGCACTAGCCTGTAGTGAGGCCCTCGCCCTTGCTCGGGATTTGAACTTACAAGACCTGGAGATAGCCTCCGACTGTCAGGTGGTGATAGCGCACATCAGGGATGGTGGAGCGGCGGTCTATGCTTCTATCCTTAGGGAAATCGAACTTAGTAAGAATGATTTTACTTCTGTTATTTTCCATTTTGAATTTAGGGAGAATAATTTTGAGGCCCACTCGCTAGCGAAAGGAGCTGCGTCTCTTGCGGTGGGTCGCCATGTGTGGCTGGGGGTTTTGCCCGATATTGCTTGTATTCCTCAGATTTTGAGTCATGAATAAAGCCCCTAGTTCACCAAAAAAAAAGGAGCTCCCGTCACTTTCCCCCTCTGGTCGAGGGTTTCCTCTGCCCTGTTACGTTCCCCACTCCAATCCAATGGCGACGACCAGCAACAAGAAAATGGCGTCGCCGTCGCCTATGACGGACATGCCCGACCAGCTCCTCGCCGAGATCTTCCTCCGGCTGCCCACCCCACAAGACCTCGCCCGCGCCTCCGCCGTTTGCCTCACCTTCCGCCGAATCTCCACCGACAGGTCCTTCCTCCGCTGCTTCCGCTGCCTCCACGCACCACCACTTCTCGGATTCCTCGACCGCGACGGCTTCCACCCAGCCCTAACCTCCACCCCCGCCGTTCGCGCGGCCGCCGTCGCCGCCGATTTCACCTTATCCTTCCTCCCCTACCACCGCCGCTGGACCGTGCAGGACGTCCGCGACGGCCGCGTCCTCCTCTGCCGCAGCATCGGAAAACATGGGCAGCCCCCGGTCTTCAGAGATCTCGCGGTGTGCGACCCCTTGCACCGGCGCTACGTCCTGCTCCCCCCGCTACCTCACGACCTGGCTGCTTTGCTTGGGCACCCTTTCCCCCCGGTAACCGAGGCCTGCTGCAAGCGCTTCCTCGTTCCCCTCGGTGAGGAGGAGGCAGCGGCTGGAGACACAACATTCATAGTCATCTTGATGGCATATTGCAAAACCAGTCTGGCTGCCTTTGTCTTCTCTTCCAGCAACGATCAATGGCAAGCTACTGCATCCAAGGATTTGAGTGATTTGGCCCTTGACGAGGGCGACATGGAGGAGATGTCAAGGGTCCAGCCTTTTATTCCCATGCGCCATTATGCTTATGGCTGTTTCTACTGGGACTGGGTGCAATTCGGGATGAAGAAGTTGCTCTTGCTTGACACCACGAACATGGAGTTCTCCACTGCTGACCTCCCACCAGGAGAATGGAGCAAGGAAGGTATAGCCATTGTGGAGGCAGGGGAAGGCAGGCTCGGGATCTTTGGTTTCCATGGTGGACTTGCATCCAATCTCAGCTATACAGCTGCACGGACCAAAGGCGAGAGTCCCAGCCAGTGGCAGATGGAGAAGACAATCTCACTAGATTCTGGCTACAAATATTGTATCAGAGACGCAACACAGAGGTACTTGCTCTTGACAAGGATAGAAGCATCATCTCCAAATAATCACCTTGTTGGATATTTCTCAATGGATATCAAGACGTTGCAGCTTCAGAGGGTTTATGAGAAACAGCACTATAAGTATCCGACATACGCATATATCAACTTCCCACCATCATTGTTGTCTTCAAGGAGAATATGAAGTGGTAAAGTTTCTATTGCTTCCAAGTATCTCCTTCACTTCATAATTATCACATGACTTGTCTATTGCTTCATGCTCATTATGGCAACTGGTAATTCTTGTTTTATTTAGTACTGTTTAATTTATTGTGCTCATCGGAAAGCTAAGAAAGCCCGGGAACATAATTGTGTTTCTTGTCTTGTTTGTCTCGGTCGCCTTTTAAAGAGAATGGGGTTAGTAGGAGAAATCATCTTGTACACTACAAGTAGCTTATGCATGAGCGAGCCCTGATGGAAATCTGGAATCGCAAAAAATACCAGGTCATTATAGTTATTTTAGAGTAGTAGTTTTGATGATCAAGATAAAGCAGGAAGGAATACAATTTTATTTCTGGTTTACCTTGAATTGATTCACCATGAGAAAATCAACTCAAGTCAAAGACAGCCCATTTTGTACGCTTTTTCTTCAGATGTATAATTTTATCTTGCGATGCTGTTTCGAGGTAAACCTGTATGGTCACAAATAAGATCCTGAGTCACTGCTGTAAATAAGAAGAGCTTGTGCTCACAGGCAACTGAAATGTTATACCGCGATGTTGTTTTATCTGAATCAACCTCATAAGATTGAAGGGAGTGCTTATCACGGGCAACTGAAATTGTTCTTTATTGCAGTCATTGTCTCCACCACTGTTAGATCCTCAGTATCATGGTTGTGCTCTGAATCTCCAAGCAAATCATATTGGTTGAGATGATTGACTGAAACTTAGAGTTGTCCGGTGATTGTATTGTTTCTCGCTGCCAACACCCTGAGCTACAAATTCACGTATATGTGGTTGAGCTAGCTAGCTGATGCATATTTCCATGCCCCATTTTTTTTTCTCAACTAGTATTTATTAGAGTTATGATCTCGTTGAGGATGAATACAGTACACGCTGATTGTAACCATTAAAAGCCTTTGTGTTCTATCGAAAATGAAGGAGTGCCCCTATTTTACTTTTTTTGAGTTTGACCTAGAGCTTTATTAGTAGTAGGAAACAAGTTGGTGCATAGAGCCCATGACATCACCAGCAATAAACCCTGGCACATCGAACTCCCATTTTACCCTACCAGAGCCTACAGGTTTAGTTCCAAATTTACTTAAGCCTTGTTTGTCTGTCGACCGCCTGCAGACAGACAAGTCGCAACTGGACAAGCACAGTCGATTGTGTGAACAAGTTTTCTGCAATTAACTCCACTATGCAGTTGAAATTCTTTTTTTATTGCAGTCAATCTCCACCACTCTGAGATCTTGATACGATGGTTGTCCTAATCTGAAAGCAGATCATATTGGTTTTGATATAATTGAATGAATCTTAAAGAGTTTTCAGGTGATTGTGTATTAGCAATTTTGTAGGATGAATTTGAGGGGACAGCCAGTTTTTTTTTTGTTCCTTTATGTGCATCAATTTGTACCAGGATGGAATTAAGTTTTTCAAGACTCGTTTCTTTATGCTGATGTGCCTCTGTCTGGCTATGTATTCCAACCTTTTATTTTAAAATTCCGATGCTAGGCACACTGGAGCGAGTGTCTGCAGTTGCATGTTTCGAATTCAGTTTAGATAAATATTTCCAATGTGATAATGCTATTATGTATCTTCCTCTACCTAGTTACATATAATTTGTTCCTTTTAGCTCGTAAACTCTCAAATATGTGTGCAATAAAATTCTTATTTATTGCAGTCAATCTCCACCAGTCTTAGGTCCCAGTATCATGGTTTTTCTCCTTATCCCAAAGCAAATCATGTTGGTCGATGATTGACTGAAACTTAAGGAGTTTTCATGCCATTATGTATTAGCAATCCTGTAAGATGAATTGGAGAGGGCACCTAGTTTTGTTTTTCTTTCCTTTTTGGGACTCATTTTTGTACTTGGATTGCTGACAGCAGCTAGTGCGTTGGTTCTTGCTACCAATGCCCCAGTTTCTCTCCATGTTTTGTAGTCAGAAGTTTGGTATACTGCTAGGTGCCTAGGTAGTATATGATTTCGTGCTGTCCTGTAACATGGAGGTACCACTTCAAGTTCTTCACGACCCATTTCTGTATGTTGACTGGCCTGAGTGCAAACTACAATTCTAAACACACTAAAGCGAGTGTTTACAGTCACTTGTTTCGAATTCGGTTGAAATCAGTAATCAAGATTACCAATGTGACAAGGCTATTAAGTACTGAAACTTAAGGAGTTATTAGGTGATTGTGCATTAGGAATTCTGTAAAGACCACCCAGTTTTGTGTTTTTTCTTTTCTTGCGTGCATTATTTATGTACTATTAGGATGGCAGTCGGCAGCTAGTATGTTGGTTCTCACTAGCAATACCTCGAGTTTCTTTATTCTTTTTAAGTTGGAAGTTTGTTACTGCTAGGTGCATATATACTAGGTAGTATGAGGACTCCTGCAACACAAATGTACCAATTCTGTATTACTTAAGTTTTCCACGTCTCGTTTATTTATGGTGTCTTGCCTCTGTCTGGCTATGTATTCAAACTTGTATTGCAAATTCCAATCTAAGCACACTGAAGCGGGTGTTCGCAGTCACATATTTTCAAATTCGGCTGAGGCCAATATTACCAATGTGACAACGCTATTATGCAATATTTCTTCTCTGGTGTCTAAACTTATATCTTGTCTGTTCAGGTTTGACAGAGCCATACCCATACGTAATCATATCAGCATTCTTAATTCAAAGCGACCATGGTTTCAACAGCTTGGAGTTCTCACATACGTGATCACGTTGCCTACAAAACAACAAGATCTACATTGCCTTGCTTGGTGGTGGCCATGTCAATGTTTTGGTTATTAGGTCTAACATCAATGTGGAATTTCCCTGCCTAAGAATGTGACTTTGATATTAGGAGTTCAAGTCAATTTTTCTTCTTCATTATTTGTTAGAGTTGCTAAAACAGGTACAATCTGACTAGTGGCAGAACGATCACAACGGAACTGATAACCAACATAAGGACAATATAAGCAGCACCAGCATGCAGTTGGAGGGACTCGGTTCTTTGTTGCTGCTGCTGCTGTACGGTGAAGGGTAGGCAGCAAAATAGGTTTGTAGAGCTGTAGAAAGAGGTGAGTGGAAGTCCTAAATGGTGCTCATGTTTGGATCGCCGAAGTACCGATAATTTGTGGAATCTTGAATATGCTGTATGATCTTGAATACTGAGTGGACAATTTTCTCTGCTGTATGATCTTTTGTCCCTTTTTCTTCAGATTTGATGGAGCTGTAATCAGATCGCCCCAGCGTAAGTTGACAATCTAAACGCATGCTCGGCTAGTTGGCTGCAGACTGAATCAACATGTACACAGATATACTACTCCCTCCGTCCCATAATATAAGAGCGTTTTTTACACTGTAGTGTCGAAAACGCTCTTATATTATGAGACGAAGGGAGTACTATACATATACTACTGTCAAGTTGGTTGGTTTCACCTGCCTGTTATTAGCAGCAAGAAAAATTGAGAGATGACTTTTGGATCGCTTGGTCTTGGGTCCTGAGGACAAAACTGCAACCATCAGCGCTTTCGGTTGATTTGTGAACGCGGGTGCGGGAATTGGTGAAGACACACTCGTTGGCGCTATGGTCAGTTGTTGGTCGTTTCAGATTAGTAAAGGTGCCTCTAGCTAAACACGCTTGTCCATAGTTTTTTAGGCGACTCTGGTCCATGGTTTGTAGCATGGTGACACTAAACGGATCTTGACATATGAAGGCTTGCCCCGGGTATGGGCTAATCTCCCTTGTTTTGGCATTCTATTGCAACTTTGTGGCGGTTTGGCAATAGGGCTGATGTTTTTCTTTGCAACTTTGTGGCGGTTTGGCAATAGGGCTGATGTTTTTCTTTTCGAGAAATCTAACGACCAGTCGACTGGTCGTTTGCGTCAGATCCGCACGATCTCGTTGCCGTTTGATTGTAATCCGAGAAGTGCGTAGGCTATTTTGAGCGAAGCGCGCGTGGCGATAGCCGTTACAGGCGGGCCCCACCGAAACCGTCCCTCTCGCCCAATGCCCACGTTCCCCACTCCCCCGTCTTTCCCTCGCCCGCATTACTTCTTCCCCCCTTCTCGCGCCGCTCTTCGTTTCTGCTCTCTCTCCCCTCTCCCTCGTCTGCGACAGTTGCTGGTGGTGGCGTGGTCCGGTTCGCGGTGGACGGCGTCTGAATCTCTGGTGAGGAACGCATTTCCCCACCCCCTTTGTCTACCTGTTTTGCTCCGCCGGTGTGTTCCCGCTATTCCGCCGTCGATTTTTGGTGTACGGAGCCTCCGAACCCGGTCGGTTTTAGTTCCCATTGGATTAGGATTGTTTAGGCCGGCTTCTAGATTCTGAATCGGCGGCGAGGAACACATTCCCCACCCCCTCTCTTTTCCTGTTTCTCCGCCGGCATGTCCTGCCGTTGATTTTTGGTGCTCGGACCATCCTAATCCAGTCGATTGTTGTTCCAAATAGGTTAGATTAGGTCGCATTCTAGTTCCATTTGTAGATGGCTGTGAATTTCGGTTCAATTTTGTGCGTAATCGGTCGGATGGTTGGTATCGATAGGTTTTCGTGGTTGATAAGTGTGGTCGGTTCTACTATGGATTTTCCCACCCGTTTTCCTCCTTCTGTTAGTGTTGTGGATGTTGACTTTTAGGACATCCAATAGTGTTTGTTGTTTATGGATTTTGTGATGTCCAATTTAGTGGATGTTGATTTGATCAGTAACCCTAAGTTCTGTTGTTATGTTGGATTTGTTTGATGCGGTCTGTTTATCGATGAGGCTTGCGATGCTCTATTTACCGGTGTTGTTTGTTCTGTTTAATTATCATGATGAAGGTATTGAACTTGCCAACGACATTGCACTCAAATTACCAGATGCTGAAACACTGTATTTTTATGACTGGTGTTATTTATGTGCCTAAATGTCCAATTGGTTGGTAATTTTGAGCTGTGCAATTGCGCTCTGATTACCAATTGTTTTTCAAACAGCTACATTCACATTAGGTTGTGTTTTG